GTCAGGGTATATGGCTCAAGATGGCTGTAAAGATGATAGCCACTTCCGGCTAAGAGTCGGCTCCCAACACACCAGGAGCCAAAGAAGTTTAATTAATTCACTGGTACATTATTAGGTTTAAAAAAAAATTATCACTTTCATTTTTTAAAAAGTGTCTTTTGGCCAGGCAGTGATGGCACACACCTTTAATCCCAGCACTTGGGAGGCAGAGGCAGGCGGATTTCTGAGTTCGAGGCCAGCCTGGTCTACAGAGTGGGTTCCAGGACAGCCAGGGCTACACAGAGAAACCCTGTCTCGGGGGGAAAAAAGTGTCTTTTGACTATGACACCCAAAAGTTGAAAATGCAAAAAGGAACGTTTTCTTTCGTATTTCCAATTTGGAAATGTCCAGCATACTGGAGTATGAGAGTTTTCCTATGTGCCCTCCTCCATCTCCTTCTCCCTTTTCCTTCCTCCCTCCCGCTTCTCCTTGAATATGATCTTTCTTTCTTTCTTTTCTTTTTTTTTTTTTTTTTTTTTTGTTTTTTCGAGGCAGGGTTTCTCTGTGTAGCCCTGGCTGTCCTGGAACTCACTCTGTAGACCAAGCTGGCCTCAAACTCAGAAATCTGCCTGCCTCTGCCTCCCAAGTGCTGGGATTAAAGCCGTGTGCCACCACAGCCTGGCTGATAATGTGCCACCACTGCCCGGCTGGTAATGCTTTTTAAAAACAAACAAACAAAAAAGGAATACTACTCAAACTTGGGTGTTATCCTTTCCCAAGGGACAAGGCAAATTTTCTCTGTACCTTTCCAATTATAGTATAACTGAGCTGAAAGGAGCATGTTTTGTTTTGTTTTGCTGTATGCTAAATCTTTTGTGAAATTTTCAAGCGTTCCGTTTTGGAGGTCCTAGCTTAGTACCCACACGTTTTGGAAAAATTACGAATATCCAGCATGAGTATGATGCGGAAGGATCTGCCTTATCCATCCACAGACATGCTGGCTTCCAGGTGTGAGTGGAACTTACAGTGTTTCTGCCGAGAGACGTAGGCTTGCTATACCGCGGGTGGGACCAGAGCGCTAGGCCCCTCCCTTCAAGGCTGGGAAGAGTCCTAGGTAGTAAGTGGGCAGAGACAACTGAATTGGGAGACACCAGTCTCCCTTTGACAAGTGAGATTTCCAAGAGGGCTTGTTTCTGAGTTTTTCTGGCTGCTCCGGTAGGCTCCCGCACAAAAATGAAAGCAGTCTTGAGCAAGCTGAGCTGGGTGTCTGTCTTCAGTTCCGAAGGAAAGAGATTCCCACGGTACAGGTGAACCCTGTGAACACTCTCGCTCTGAAGCAGCTTCTCCAGGCTAGAGCACCACAACCTAGTGATAACAGCAGGCTGCTGAGATGTTTGAGTCCAGGTGCCTTGTGGAGCACCACTGGTCTGCCGCCTCCAATAGGTGGAGATAACGCTCAGGGGAGGCCACTGTCCAAGATGTCAGCTCAGAACCAGAAGAGGCCAGGACCCCTGCTCACCCGTTCACACATGGACTTTCAGCTCCATGGCTTCAGTCCCACAGGAACCAGGAGAGCAGCTGACCCATGGACGAGACAGTGCCTTCTGTGTTCAGCAGCAAGCTAGCCACTCTGAAACCGAGTGGTTGCAAACTCCACAAAGTCGATAAAGAAACGTGATTAATTCAGTACATGAAACTGAAACAAAACTGCGGCAGGTAAATATGCCAAGAAGAAAACAAATCCAAAAGTAACTCCTTATACAAAACGAAAACAGAAATAATCTCACAGAAAAGGGGAGTGAAGGTGGTGCAGTGCCCAAGAAATGCTGGGTCTAAGTTTGCTGCCACTAACATGCTGCTGGCTAAGGAAGGCTCGGCTCGCAGCCACCTAGGAAGGAGAAATCAGAAGCCTCTGGTGAATGCTTCGAGCGCCGACACCTGGCAAACAGCGGTATTGCCACGTAAGGAAGGTCTCTAAACTGGATCAACAGGATCAGACCTGTTTCTTCAAGATGACAAACTGCTGGTCTTGACAAAAGCATGGTGTTTAACAGAGGAGATAGCTTGCAGGAGTGTATCGACCTGGTATGAAATAAAGTCGTGTTGTGTTAGAACGAGGCTCCTCTTTCTATCAGGACGCTCGCGGAAGGCGTAGATGATGCTGCAGAGTCAAACACTTTCGCTATGCTTTTTTTTTTTTTTCCGGTTCCAAGGGAAGGGGTTTATTTGGGGAAGGGAGTGGGAGAGAGGAGCGGGAAGATGGTGAGTGAAGAGAAGAGAGAAAGAGAAAGAGAGAGAGAGAGAGAGAGAGGTCGCTATGCTTTAATACACCTGTTAGCTAAGTTTTCCAGCTTCAACACTAATAAAAAACATTTGGAAGGACCTGCCTAACTCGAGCCCAGCTTTCTCTCATCCTAGCACTTCTTTCTCGGGACAATAAATTCCCTGGTGTTTGAGGTCACTAGGATTGCTTCTTTGCCTTACAAATGAAAGAGCAACGAAAAACAGTTAACCTTCCCCACCAGAAAACCCACTGCCACTTCCGGCAGGAGGGAACACCCTGAGGGAGCCTATGAAAAGCTACAGCTCTACCTCTAATCTCAAACCCACCCTGGCACAGCATGTCAGCAGGAAAGCTGGCCTTTGACAGTATAGTCATGAGGGAGCTACACTTGACTCTCTCCCCGGTGCCAAAATGCATTGGATAACACAGTACATGCTTAGCTGAAGTTTTGCTGCCTGTAAATCAAGGCTTAGTGTGCAACAGTTGGCAACCACAGGGTCTTTGAAAAAAAATTACATTTGGTGTGTGTGTGTGTGTGTGTGTGTGTGTGCACATGCGCCACAGGCATACCTGTGGAAGTCAGAGACCATCGTTTTTTTCCTTTTGCCCTGGATAAGGTCATCAGGCTTGTGAGACAGGCACTTTTATCCACTGAGCCATCTCCCCAGGTCTTCATTTAAACCTTTTTTTTTCTTTTTTATTTATATATTTCAAATGTTATCCCCTTTCCAGGTCTCCCCTCCAGAAACCTCCTATCCTATACCCCCTCCCCCTGCCTCTATGAGGATGCTCCCCCACCCACCCACTCCCACCTTCCCACCCTGATATTCTCCTACACTGGGGCATCAAAACCCCACAGGACCAAGGGCCACTCCTCCCACTGATGTACAACAAGGCCATCCTCTGCCACATATGCAGCTGGAGCCATGAGTCACTCCATGTGTACTCTTTGGTTGGTGGTCCAGTCCCTGGGAGCTCTAGGGAAGGGGGGTGTCATTTAAACCTTTATTTTTTAGATTATTTTTTTAAGATTTTATTTATTTATTTATTCATTTATCTATTTATTTATTTATTTGATGAGTACACTGTGGCTGTCTTCAGATACACCAGAAGAGGGCATCTAATTCCATTACAGATGGTTGTGAGCCACCATGAGGTTGCTGGGAATTGAACTCAGGACCTCTGGAAGAGAAGTCAGTAATCTTAACCACTGAGCCATCTCTCCAGCACACACCCCCCCCTTTTTTTTTTTTGAGACAGGGTTTCTCTGTGTAGCCCTGGCTGTCCTGGAACTCACTCTGTAGACCAGGCTGGCCTCGAACTCAGAAATCCGCCTGCCTCTGCCTCCCAAGTGCTGGGATTAAAGGCGTGCGCCACTACTGCCCAGCTATTTAAACCTTTTACTGGAAATTTAAAACTTAATTTATTCAATAAAGAGTTAACAAATTTTAGTATCTGTTAATAAAGATTGTGTGTATGTGGTCTTTGTATTTTTGTTGGTGTGGCTGTACGTACAAGCCCATGGTCCAGATGAGACACTATGCTTTGCCCATGCCAGCAAATCCCTCCATCACCAAGCTATATCTCTGGTTCTAATAAAATTCCTAGATAACTAAAAACTAAAATAAACCCTTGAGTAGGTGCTGGTGGCACATGCCTTTAATCCCAGCATTTGCCAGGTAGAAGCAGGCAGATCTTTGTGAATTTGAGGCCAACCTGGTCTACAAAGCACGTCCAGGACAACTAGGACTCTGTCACACAGAGAAACCCTGGCAAAACAAAAACAACAACCAACCAAAACAAAATAAAATCCCAAGTTGCTCAAGGGTCAACAGCCACAGTGGCTGGGGTCCTCAGTTCATCTATGGGGTCTTTGACATTCTACTAAGGAGAAAGAATATATTCCAAGTTTCATCAGTCAAACTCGTATCAGGAAGCATTTAAAAGGTTTGGAACCTTTCCAAGGGGCCAAACCACAAGAGTTCTCGGGGGCTGCTGACACCAGCCAACAGTCACCCCAGGACCTACAGCTCTGTCTTTCTCCAAAAGCAGGACATAGGAAAAATCTATTTTGATGTTTTATTAAGATAGTTTAAAATGTGTAACATCTCAAAAGGCAGAATCCCTTCTGTGATTTGTGAAGAAGCAGAAGGCTTAGGAGAGGTATCTGTCCCCAAAGAGCCATCCAATGAGGCATCTAGGTTGAAGAAATTTCTTCTGGAGCATGGAGACATGGGAGAGGAAAGCTTTGAGGATGGTGGCCACACACCTGAGACTTAGGTGACTCCCCACTCCCTTCCAGATTCCTGACTTGAAACACATGTCACATGAAAGAAGCGTGTTCTATGATCATGTAGGCCCAAAACAGAGTTCTCCATGCTAATGAGGTACCTAGAGGCCCCAGAGGGCTTAGCCAATAACCTTCCCTTCCCAGACATTCCTCCCTGCAAAAGGTATTTAATCTTAGGTCCACTCTGAGAAGTGAGTACATTACGTTATGCATCCATTTTCCACCACGAACAACCAATAAACTGTTCAGTCTCTTTCAAGATCTCTGTGAGGAGCCAAGGAGAAGGCATTACCTACAGAGCTGCTGAAGTCATGAATTGTTTGTACCAGGCAGGCCTTGTGATGCTCCTGCCACTTCAGTCTCCCAAGTAGCTGGGCTTTACACCACCAAGACTGATGCCACCTTATTAGAATTTGACTATGTATCATCTTTATAGATATTTCATCTGCATATCTTGCTTTTCAGCTGCCAGACCTCTCAATTCAAAGGACTCTAGCAAGAAGCCAGCCCTGCATCATTCACAGTACACGCCTCTAATCCCAGCACTCAGAGGCAGAGGTATGTGAGTCTGAAGCCAGCCTGGTCTACGTCGTGAAACCTTCACTCAAATCTTCAGATGAGTATAATCTGGAGTAATTTTGAAAACCAGGAAGTGAATCAGTCCCAAAGGGTAGAGAGTTGCTACAGAGGGTGATAGCAGGATATAAGGAAGGGGGGAAATTGGGGAGGGAGAGGGAGGTCAAGACATAAAGAGAGAGGAGCAAGAGGGGCAAGTTACACTAAGAGTGTTTGAGAAAGCCACAACCTCATACAATACATAAGTGTGTGTGTGTGTGTGTGTGTGTGTGTGTGTGTGTGTGTGTAAAGTCACTTAGGCTGACAACTCCCTTCAAAACTACAGACCATCTAATAAAACTACAACCAAGCATGAGAAACCCTCTAATTGGTCAGGGTTGTCCAAGGGTCTCTAGAACATAGGCAATCGGCAGTGGCTACCTCCCAGAGGTTGAAGGTAAGTTCTGATTCCTGAAGTCAGCATGCACTGGTCCTGACTGAACCCTCTCTCTGAAGACTGGCTTTCCTAGAACCTGAAAAAAAGCAACCACTTTACAGGGGTAGAGCATGAGACACAACAACCAGCATGGCAAGATATCCCTAAAGATGTGACAACGGCATTCATATCTTGGCAGTAACCAAAAGATATCTGATTGGGCTTAAGGTCTGCCAGGTACTGGGAACCAAGCCAACTACCTGGAATTTGGGGGGG